ATAGAATAGAATAGAATAGAATAGAATAGAATAGAATAGAATAGAATTCTTTATTGGCCAAGTGTGATTGGACACACAAGGAATTTGTCTTGGTGCAAATACTCTCAGTATACATACAAGAAAAGATACATCGTCAAGAGTCGAAAATCATAAGGTACGACACTTAATGATAGTCATAGGGTACAATAAGCAATCAAATCATACTAGGAAACAGTCAATATAAATTGTAAGGATCAGAAGTGGGAGGGGATGGGAGGTAAGGAGTGATGAGAAGATTAACAGTAATAGTAGTACAGACGTGCCGATTATTAAGCAAACCCATTGTTCACTTATGAGGCATTTTTGCCGAAAACCAGAAATAAATGCTGGTTTTCTGCAAAAAACGTTGTAGATTGCAGTCATGTGACCAGGGGATGCTGCAAATGGCCGTAAACTCTCAGCTGCTTGCTGAGCACCTGACGTGAGGTCACATTACTATGGGGAATGGCTCGTTGGAACTTCAGAACTGGGTCATAAGTACCTTTTGGGGTCTCTGCATAACTTTAAATGGACGCTAAGGGACTGATCATAAGTTGAGAATTACCTGTAGTCAATGAGCATTAGTTAATAATGGTCATTAGAGACTTGAAATTGGTGTCTTTCCTTTTCTCCAATAAAAGCAGGAATTGTGGTTGTTTGGGTAGACAGAGATGTGTAGCAAAAACTTCTTGGTATTCTCACTCAACCACAATTCCCAGCATTCCTTGGGGAAGAGTCGCCACAGACAAACCACATGAAAGGGTTATAAATTGGCACATATAGATATATAATAAATGGACGCTTGCAATGTAATTTATCTTTATTCTGGGTAGAGAATACCGTAAAAGGCATTGCCCTTCTCTGCTGGAGTGTATGGTACTCGTTGATTTTTAAAAAGAGTCAAGGTTCCTTCAAGTTATGGTAGATTTATAAATTCAAAATCGATGTAGAATTATGTCTAGGTTAAAATTACAGGCCTGTTCCCCTCATCAGAAAAAAAATTGTCTCGAATTGTATGAGGCTATTTCTGTGCTGAAAAAATTGTTCCAGGATCTAATCTGGGTTGGTTACTGGAACCAGAGGTTTCGTCTTCTGAGCTTTTGGACTCAGGGAACTTCTCCCTAGCAGTGTATGTGCTTTGGGCTATTCTGTGCGTGGCATGTATACGATGCCTGCTGTTGTGTGGCTTTTTAGATGTTGATTGGGGTGTCGATGGCTGGCTATTAAGTCATTGGCTGTAGTTTCCTTGTACTGCCCAGCCCTCGCCTTCTAAGCACTTGATAAGCTGCTGATAAGCTGCTGGTAAATCTGTTGACTGGTGAGGGGCCCATTTCCAGGCTTCAATCACTTCCCTGGCTGTTTTTGTCCCTGTTCGTCCGACAATCTTAGTAGCTGGAACATTGAATGTATGGTCTTGTTCATTGCAGTGTGAGGCTACCAATGAGTTAGTTCGTCTGACCGCTCGCATGTGTTCTTGCAATCTGGTGGTTAGCTTGCTTCCTCCCTGTCTGTTTTACATAGTCACAGGGGCAATCTGTGCAGGGGATCCAGTAGATCACATTGGAAGTACCTCCCATCTCCAAGCAGTCTTTACCATGCATAATTTGTCCTTGTGGCCATGGATCAACAGGAGTGCTGATTTACCACCAGCTTATCCAATACTTAAAAGGAGAGGGCTTGGCAGTATGACAGTCAGCAACTTAATAGCCAACCATCAACACCCCAATCAACATCTAAAATGCCACACACAACAGTCTCCATATACATATCACACACAGAATGGCCCAAAGCACTTAGATTGCTAGAGAGGAGACTCTGAGGATGGATTCCAGCAAAAATTTGAAAGCTCAGAAGACGAAACCTCTGGTCCCAGTGACCGACCCAGATTGGATCCTGCAACATTATCCCGGGACGCGTACTACATTCGCCTTCATTCGTGGGAAAAAATCTTGTGCCAAGAATGTTCAAATTTCCACTCACGCCTTGGACATCTTCTCTTTGACAGCCATGAAAGTTGCGATGGGGATGCAGAAGCAGATTACAGCCAAACGAGGGCAGATCGATGCTTTGCAGAGCAAGATTAAGTTCTTGGAGGAAGCAATGACGAACGCAACTAAGGTCCAATAATTGCCGAATTATTGAACTGTGATAATATATGTGGCCTAGTACAGTCCTCAGGCCAAACGTTGAAAGATTATTATGGGTTCAAATCTGCCTACAATATGATTGAAAGAATGAAACATATGAAGCGCCAGTAAATTGCCATGAGCCTTTACCACAGCCTCTATACATATAGTTTTTCTCTAAAGAGCTTAACGAGTGATTCTCAACATTTTCTTCCCCATTGACCCCAATTAAATACCTTTTGTGGCCATGGACTACGGCCATGGACCCCCAAGACTTAACTCAAGATTTAAAGCATAACATTTCTACAAGTCTTTGAGTGGTGCTGTGGGCTAGAGATGGAGCTCTCGCCTCACAATCAAGAGACTGTGAGCTCAATCCTAGGTAGAGGCAGATATTTCTCTCTCCTGGCACAAGGAGCATATATCTGCTGCAAAACTCTGCACTGGTGACAGGAAGGGCATCTGGCCTGTAAACACTCAGCTCCATTCAGACTCCACCCTGCAAAGGATTATGGGGTCATTAAATGATGGGGAAAAAATTCTTCAAGTCTTTGTGAGGCCCTTGTGATAATATACCCCCCCACACATAGAGTAGACAGCAGGTTGAGAACCCTGACCTGAACTATAACTGCGAAGTTATTTCTTCTAAAATTGAATAAATATTTCCAAAATGAATGAGCCAGAGATGAGATAGGGCTAAGCAAAGTGTTACAGAGAGTTTTCCTCCATTTTAAATTAAGCACACCTTAATTTATCCCAGTGTTTCTCCACCTTGGCCACTTTTAAGGTGTTTGAACTTCAATTCCCAGAATTTCCTAGCCAGCCATGGGAATTCTGGGAGTTGAAATCCAGACCCCTTAAAATTCGCAAGGTTGTGAAACCCTGATTTGCCTTGTCAATTTATGATGGTTAATCTGACTAAGAGATTACCAACTGGGTTGGCAAAATAAGTGAAAAAATTAATTCTAATCACATTTAGTAGAAACAAATCGATTTCATTGGAGTGGATTAATTTTCCACTGATGGAATGGATTAATTTTCACTAACCATAATTAAGCTGTAGTTTAAGATTCAGTGTAATGTTTCAGTAAGGTGAATCACAAACATGAATTAAAGTTTTTGAACCACATCAGTTGAGGAGAAAGTTGCGTGCCCATGCACAAATATTTTTTACCGCTTATCCTTACAACTTTCACTGAGAAGCTGTTTCACAACTGCCTTGTGGAGTAGGCTGAATGGGCATATTTTTATCTGTTCCTTGTTCAAGATTTTGCAAGCTGGTTATGCAGTGTTTTCCCCCCCTATCTTGCCTATAACAGGAAAAACATTACTTGAAAGAAGAGAGGAACCGATTAAGTCAAGAGCTGGGCTGCATGGCTGCTTTAAACAACAAATTGGCTGGAGAATTGGAAATCCTAAAGTCCCAGGATAAGCGTTTGAAAGACAAACTGGTGACGATGGAAGCTGCTCTAGATAAAGTAAGCTTCCTTAACCCATCTATGCATAGTTTTCGATTTACACCCATTCATTTAGTGACCATATGGAGCTACAACAGCCCTGAAAAAAGTTATTTCTAAATAAAAATAAAGATGATTTTATTTTATTTTATTTATAATAATTTTTATTGTTCTTTTCTACCATTTACACATAGTAATCTTAACTTTAACAGTATTGTGTCATCATTATTATACAAATTATTAGTAGTTCTAGGTTGTCCAGGTCCAAAATTTCAAGCCTAAATCAGGATTAACACACAGTATTTAAAACCAGAGATGAAATAAAATCTGTGGATGAAATAAAAAACAGTCAAGATGGAGGGCCCGACTGAATGATCAAAGCCCCGTTCCTTTTTAACGTGTCGAAGGCGGGATTTTGATCATGGAGTCATGGCCGCCATCTTGAATTTTGGGGCCTCATCCTGCCTCAGACATCTCTTGAGATTGACAGAAATAAATACATTTGTTGGTGTTTTTATATACAGATGAGCACTGACAAATGTATATGGACAAATACATAGTAGAACCTCTCATCATGAATGCTTCTGACCATGACCAAATCGGGTTCCAACCAAAAAATTCACATTTTTTTTCACAGCCAATTTCCCCTTTCACACCTTTTTTTTTTGTGAGCACCAAATTTCCAACAGTAGGTTTGTGTCACAACCAAATCAGGTTGCAACCAAAGTTATGGAACGAACCATGGTCGTGACCAGAGGTTCTACTGTGTATATATATATATATACATAGACATATACATACATACATACATACATACATACATACATACATACATACATATCCTGAGGGTTTGCCCTATTCCTGATGCCCCAAAACTTTGTTATTAGGACTCTAATATGGAGTTGAATACGGTTTCCTTCTCTCTGGAAGGACTTAGAGATGGGAAGCCCTGAGCTTCCCGACAGACTCTGATCCTTCAGTTCTTGCTTTTTGCCAAGCTAAACACTTTTCCGAACATGATGTTGAATCTTCTACATCTCCTTCACCTTCCTGGAGGGTGGCCTCAGGATTTTAATAGCATCAATTAACATAGTAGATTACTGTTCCTCAACCTTGGCCCTTTGAAGATGTATGGACTTCAACTCCCAGAATTCCCCAGCCAGCCATGCTGGCTGGGGAATTCTGGGAATTGAAGTCTGCACGTCTTCAAGGGGCCAAGGTTGAGAAACATTGTTGTACATGTGAAGTTGGGTGTTGGAGTTCTTCACTAACGATTTGGTGATTCTTATGTGGTCTAGTTGGGATGGTTGGATGCGGCAAACAGACCATAAAGTGAAGTTGAAAAATCTTCAGTAGTGCACCATATTCTAATATTAAAACAAACCATTACTGATGTTGTGGAATTGGCATGCTTAAATAAATGGGATTGAATTTGTCTTTTCTTTGAGAGAAGTATGAACCATAGAAGAGATGGCTGAATTCCCAAATAGAGTTTCTTGTTTGCTCAAAAACTGTTCAAGATAACTGGAAACCTGATTGCATGTCTTAAAAGCGACTGATAATACTGGGTGTAAATCATGTCCCAAATAGTAAATAACTCACTCCCGATTTTACCCAGGCGTCTCTACAGTTTGCAGAGTGCCAGTGCATCATTCAGCGGCAGGAACAAGAAGTCATGCGCTACAAACTTCAGCACACTTTAGACGTGAAAGTAAGTCTTTTGTTTCACGGATCCTTTCAAAATATCTCGGAATCATTACAGGTAGTCCTCGACTTACAACAGTTCACAGTGAAATTTCGGAGTTACAACGGCACTGTAAAAAGCAACTTATGACCGTTTTCTCTGCAGCACCCCCATGGTCAAGTGATCAAATTTCAGATGCTTGTCAGTTGGCTCATATTTATAACGGTCGCTCATACCAGCTCCTGCCAACCCAGCAAATCAAAAGTGGGTGACTGCAAGTAGACATATGGGTACCACTTCAGAAGGCAACTTAAGAGGGAGACAAAGGGAGCGCCCAGTGGGCTCCCCTGGGCAACAATGATGTCACTGGCTAATCCTTCCTTCCGACCCAGAAGTGCTTTGATGCTATATTGCACAAATGTAGCAGTAATATTGCTTCTATGCAATATTTCATGGTGGCACAGTGGTTAGAACGCAGTATTGCAGGATGACTCTGCCCATTGCCAGGAGTTCGATCCTGACTGGCTCAAGATTGACTCAGCCTCCCATCTTTCCACGGTCAGTAAAATGAGGACCTAGATTGTTGGGCTGTAGAGCATAGAGACAGCCGTAAAGCACCATAAAGTGGTATATAAGTCTAAGTGCTATTCTTCACAAGCACAAATTCCAGATGTGATATCCAGATAAGAACATATTTTCTTCTTTAAATAGAGTAATCAAGTTAACCATTCCTACTTTATCTTCCTTGCTATGGAAATAACGTGTCTTTCTATTTGCACCTAGTGACCTTTGTGAGCTGTCACCATTTTTATTTATAAAATTTATTGTATTCTTTCAAATCCTTTGGTCTTACTGAAAGAGGGGAAAATGAAACTGTGATCTTGGTTTTGTTGATTAGAAAGATTTGGTGTTATAGATATTGCTAGTTATATATGAACATGTAAAAGCAAAATATGGATGTTGGAGTGTATTTATT